TTCATTTTAGCCTTGTGTTCCATTCGTTAATGAATATTCATGGTTGATTTTCATGTACTAGCATACTTTCACTTTCTTTTGGGCAGGGATTTAATATGACACCCATTTAATCACTTAAACAGTTGGGTTAAAGGCTTGATGTGATAGCCAATTAAGTCGCTGAGTTGTGACCATATGTGCTTGCCAAATCAGAAGCCTTAGAGCGAGAAATTCTGCGGCATAATTAGAGTGACAGCCCATGTTCCCAGTCCTGGGTGTTAACTTCCCTACTGTCTGATGGAACCTTGCCCTGGGGTTTGGGATGGGTTGGGGAAGCTGTGCCCACAATACTCAGTGCCTTTAAGGTAATTCTTCTACATGAGCAGATGCTTGCCCTGTGTAGAATTCCCATACTAAAAGAACTTCTTTCTTGGAGTCTCTATAGGGGAGGGGTCACTTTATTCAAGCAAGGATTGGAAAGGATTAAATGAAGAGTTCAAGTAAATCCTGTAAGAGTTTGCTAAAGGCTTACTGTGCTCTTGTTCCTGCAGAAGATGTGAGAAATCTTTTACCAACTTCAGGGAAAGTGTCCAAGAGAATAGTTTGAAGAAGTCGCAATTTGGTTGAATAGAATTGATTTTAAATTTGTTTTCTTCCAACAGTAGATTTCTTTGCATTAGCTACTTTCATATATTGATCCTTAAATATTTGCATGGACTGGATACCATTAATTGTCTTTTTAAAAATAATTCCACAGCTTTTATGAGATTTACAATGGCTTAATAATACAAATGTTTTTGCATTTCTGTTGTTTGTAAATCTTGCTTTAAGTACTCAAAAATGAAATAAAGTTTGCTGAAAATAAGAGTTCTCAACCACTAAATCTGAAATATATAACTTTGTGCTATTCATCAAAGAGTTTTATTTTCAATCATTGTACTTACTTTACTCTAAAATTCTTAAATTCCTTTTAACACTCTGATGCCTAAGGTGTGTGTGTGTGTGTGTGTGTGTGTGTGTGTAACATAGGAATGAATTGATTTAAAGTTACACATTTTTAGTTGATTCAATATTTCAAATATGATATTCCATCCAATTTGTTTTTTTTAATAATTTTTATTTGTGTGTAAGTGTTTTTTCTGCTTCTATGACAGTGTACTACATACATATGTAGTATTCATGGAGTCCAAACTAGTGTTAGAGCCCTCCAAGCTGTAGAGACAGATGCTTATGAGCTACTGTGTGAGTGCTAAGAATCAACTCAGGTCCTCTGCAAGAGAAACAGATGCTTTTAATCAATGAACAATCTTTCCAGATTCCCAATTCATATATATATATATTTACATTATTACATCTTGAGAACATACTCTCTATGTTAGCCATTAGATTTGTCATTTATCTGGGCTAATGTATCCTAAAGCAAGAGCCTGCTGAGGGCCTGTCCTGCTTCTAGACATTCCATACATAGAAGCCAAAAGTCTTCTTCTCCATGTCAATCAATTTGCACCCAGTAGAACCACTGTCAGCTGTTTACAATCAGTTTCATAACAGGGTCAGAAGGAACAGATATTTGCAGACTATGCGATCTGCTCCAATCTTCACACCTGGTCTGTGAAACAAACAGGCGCTGTTCTCACTGAATAAACAGCTGTGAAGAATTACAAATGAGACCTGAAGCCACTTCCATCTCCCACATCCCTGGTCTTTTGTAATGGTGTCTTGTCTCACATAGATGGTGGAGTCCTAAGATTTGGTTTTCAAATTCCACTTTAATCAAGTGTCAAGGTGGTATGGTGAAGGCCTCCCCCATGTACAGGAACAAAGAGAAAAGCACTGAGGGCTCTCCAGAGTGGAAGAAATAGCACTCTCCTGCTTCCTGCCTAACAATCAGACTCTGTAGTCTGTCTATACGCCAATGATATTCGCCTCACCTTTATAACTCCACAGTACCACAGGCAGAAATGCTTACACACATACCCCACCCACATAACCCACCCTACCCACATATGTAATACAGGCCACCCACATATTTACACACACACACTCATACACACACACACTCATACACACACACACACACACACACACACACACACACACACACACGACTCTGGAGGCTTGTGAAGTCTGTGCACATTGCCGGAATCTTGTCTATTCCTTCTCCATTGAAGAATCGTGTTACATCAAGTTTTCTGTATAATAGACAGTGTTAGGACCCGTGCATTCGAAGTGCATTTGAAAATCTCGTTTCAATAGTAGATCCTATGCAAATGTTGAGCAGACTGCCCTTTTCTCCACAGTGGGTCATTTGATTTCCATGCCAGCTGCAATTCTCCTTAGTAAGTCCTAAATATTAATATATTTGCTTTAATAACACTTGTCTTTTGGAAAACAATTTATCTAGACACACAGTAAATAAGTATGTGAGTTCTAGCAAGAAGTACTGTCAGGAGCTAATTAAACAGTAATTATCTTAAGAGCAAACAATGAATTTTCTGCAAATAAGGCATCAGTAAGCCTTCTCAACTTGTGCCTCTGTGTCTGGCTTGTTTCATATGTACTGGAGGCAGGCTCAGTAGCACTGAATAGGAACAAATGACACAATGGTATGTGCATCACACTTTCATTTTATACTTAAAAATCACCTTCCTCCTCCTACTCCTCCTCATCATACCTTTTCATGTACATATCATAGCACATATATGGAGGTCAGAAGATACCTTCATGCAGTGCATTCTCTACTTCAGCCTCTGTTTGTTTCCCAGAGGTCTAACTTAGTCTTCTGGCTTATGAGACAAGCATTTTTACCTGCAGATCCTTATTTCCAGGCCAACTTCTCATTTTCTTTTGAGCTGTTCACTGGTTAGTGCACACCTAGGCTGCTTCGGTGACTTGGCTGCTGTGAATAGTGTTGCCATAGAACAGGGAGTGGAGGTCATTCTTGCCGAATTGTTTCTGACTTTTTCCCCTTCTTCCCCTCCCCCTCCATGTCCGATACCACTGCTAGAGTCCCTGGTGATGCTACATTTACCTGTGAGAGGAAACCCATGATACTTTCTACAGTGGCTTTATTCATCCAAATCTAGTCCCATAGTGGATAAATGTGATCTTCTTCCCAGTACCGGTTATTTACAGGAGCCCTTTGGTTTAGATAAGGGAATGTCTCACTGAGGCTTGGATTTATAGTTCCAGGAATGTCTGAGGCTAAGCATTTTCTTCAAATGCTTTTTGGCTGTAAGAAAAAGCAGTAAAGGAGGGGGTCAATTCTGAATTCTCTTTCTGGAGAAGGACAGCAAAGTGGACAACTGACTTACTAAAATGTTTTATTTAAGCTTCTAAACATTTTATAGGCCATTTTTTTAGACTGCAGTATTTGTAAATAGCTGCTTCATTAGTATGAAGGTAATATTAACTACCTCTGAATTTACATTTCTTCTCTAAATATCCCTGGGTAGTCTAGTTTATGTGTTATTTTATATCATGTTATAATAAATAAACGCACTTGTAAAAATCATTAAAACCACCCTTCACATACACACACACACACACACACAGAAAGAGAGAGAGAGAGAGAGAGAGAGAGAGAGAGAGAGAGAGAGAGGCATGAATCGAACAAAGAAAAAAACCTATTCCTTTAGAAATTGGTTTTTACTTGTAAATGTTTTTGGAAACAGTAAGTCTCTTAAAATATCTGACTATTTCATAGAAACCACTGAACTTCTGGTGGAATGGCAAAGTTAGAACAAAATTATGGAGTTACCTGCTCTTCATCTTTTCCACCAAGTGGTATCAATTCCATCTGAAATAGTGTTCTTTGGCCAGGGATCTCAAATCACTCTGACAGTGCCCCATGCTGGTAGATTGGGTGAGAATCTTTCAAGATGAAAAGAATTCTCCAGAACGGACAGAATCAAGAACCCAACATTGACCTGCAAATACAGTACTTGCTTTGGCAACACAAGTAGAGAAAAGGCAGCTGAGAATGCCCAGTGAACAGACTCTAGGGCTGGGTTTTAAGAACAGAACCATTTCTCTGCCTTGAGAGAAATTCATTTATTTATTGTTTAGTGCAAATTTTATCTACAAAACATGGGTTGGATGCCAGTTAGTGATATGAAATAAGAGTGGTACTGCTGGTGGGGTCTGAAAACAATTATGTGTCGGTTACTGGTCAGTGATGTGCTTCAGGTGTGGTGCTGATGCTGAGAGTAAACATTGATTGGTTACTGTTTAGTGATGTGTATCAGGTGTGTGGTACTGATGCTGAGAATAAGCATGCATTGGATACTGTTGAGTAATGTCTATCTGGTGTGTGGTGCTGAAGCTGAGGTCTGAGACTAAACACAGATTGGATACTGTTTAGTGATATCTATCAGGTGTGTGGCAATGATGCTGAGAAAAAAAAACATGCATCGGATATTGTTTAGTGATGTGTATCAGGTGTCAGAGTGATGCTAAGGTCTGAGGATTAACATGGATTGAATACTGCTTAGTGATGTGTATCAGGAGTATGGTACTGATGCTGAGGTCTGGGAGTGCACATGAATTAGATATTAGTGATGTGTATCAGACATGGTTCTGCTACTGCAGGCTCGCGATAAATACAGACTGGATATCAATTAATGGTGTACCTTATGTGTGTTAGTAAGGATGAGGTCTGAGGTAAAAGACACAATGGCATTCATTCTTACCCCAGCCCAGACATTATTTCCTCAGCTCTTTTGGTCTTCCTGCATCATATGAAATTTCATTTTTACCAAAATTATCTAGATCTCTAATGGAAGACAGAATATGAATAGAAGTATAGGTTTTGTTCCTTTAACTAAATGCATTTGTCTACACTTTCCAAAGGCAGATGTTTGAAACTCTGGACACATTTTCTGTTTAGCTTGTAAGTGCAATGGTTTATTTTTCTATTGCAGAGACTTGTTGATTTTGGTAGTTCAAACATAGAGCTTATTTTATGATATAATTGCACCTTCATGGAACATTTTTTCAACTTTCTTTTCTCCTTCCAACAGTTTTACCTAGTCACACATGTGGAAACCCTGGGGAGATACTGAAAGGAGTTCTCCATGGAACAAGGTTCAACATAGGCGACAAGATCAGATACAGCTGTCTCTCTGGCTACATCTTGGAAGGCCACGCCATTTTGACTTGCATTGTCAGCCCTGGGAATGGTGCATCCTGGGACTTCCCAGCTCCTTTCTGCAGAGGTAGGTTTATCTCCTGTGCTCCTGAGAAGGGAAGCCTGAGCCTAGGGAGTGACTTTGAAGCTGACATTCGCAACTTCATTTCTAGTTACAGGGGGCAGCATTGGGCAGGATATTCTTTCATCTACCCTAATTTCAAAAGAAATAAGACACAACAAGGAAAAAGCAAAAACAAACAAACAAAAACAAAAGGCATCCTAAGACCTTAGCTAGACCAGTGAGCCTGCTGTTAGAGCTCAAATATCCATATTTCTTCCTATCCCTTTCACAGATGTACACATTTCTATTTATAGAGTCACTTGGTTAAGTGTCCTGCTCGTTTATGAAATTTTCTTAGTTCTAGCTTTTCCTTCATTGCTTTATCTCTGTATCCTCACATTCATGGTGATCCTCCTGCCTCAGGTTCCCGAGAGCTAGGATTTCAGGCATCAGCCACTATGCTTGTCTTGTTTGTTTTATTTCATGCTCCCTTGTTTACCCATTCTACATTAAAATTTAAAGAGTTCCTAAAGTTAATCATACCCATTTTTATGTTCTTATGGCTGTTAATATCTCCATTTTCCTGGTGTTTCAATGGACTTGCCATCATGATCCAGAGCCTGCAGCCTTTCCTTCTGCTTTTCCATAGTTCTCTTGAATAATTGACCCCTTTGAAAGACAGTGTTATTGGCCATTGGAATGTCCCAAAGTCCCCTGTTTTCTTCTCCCTTCTTCCCACTGTGGTCATGGTTTGCTCAGTCTGGAGACCTGGAAGTTACTAAGTTGTTCTTTCAGTCATTCCCTGCACCTTTTAGAGGTCAAGTCAAGACACAGTTTTTTCTTTCTAACATTTTTTTCTACCTCCATCCTCACCCACACTGTATCATCTTAATGGCTCCAATTAATAAAATCAAAGTTTGATAACCTAATTTATTAATCTTGTTACTACTTACTATGTTAGTTAATGTCTAAATGTTACTCCTACAACAGTCTTTAGCCTTCAAGAAATAATCTCAGCCTTGAGAACCAAGAGTTGCAACATGCTTGCTTGCTTTCTGCATTATAATTTACCAAATCCATTGGAATTTTTCTAGATACATGTATATTTTTCTCAGTATCCTCAGCTGGCTGTTTTCTTACACTAAAGGTCTCTACCAATTCTGCAGCTATATATTTTATGACGTCAAAATTGATATAACAACCTTTCAATATCTTTCTTGTTCCTTAGCCAAGTTTTTATTAACACCTAACTTTGTCAAGGTAAACATGTTCCTCTACATTAGACATTGAAGCATTTATATTCATGCCTTTTCTGATTCATGCCCTGGTACGAATTCAAAATTCGTAGAGTAAACTAATTGGAGAGACATGCAACTTATCTTTGATTGAGATAATAAATAAATAATAAACTCAATAATAAAGAAAATGTCAAAGGTCTAATGCTGATGAATATGAGGAGGTTGCATCTCCAGGAGCTGCATTATAAAACAAACAATCAAACAAACAAACAAACAACTCAGCAGTATAGGCAGGCTGGGTTTTAAATGAAGTTAGAATATTTTCTGATTCCCAAAAGTTCTGATTGTTCAGTTCCAGAAATTGTCTGAGGCTTCTTTCTGGCAATCTCAGTACCAGTAACACTACAGTATTGGTTCACAGTGACTTCTGACCAGAACTATAAAACCTTACTTTTCCTTCTCACCACAAGTATTTACCTGTCACAGTAACACCTAAATGTGTTGGCCATATAAAATTACAGGATGGTCTTCGAAGTAATACCTGCAGTTGTAGTGGGATCAACAAATGAAAAAGTGGGATCACAGCAGCTTGCAGGGGACATTTCTTTTAGGCATGAGCTCAGGGTTCTCTTCACTTAGGAGCCAACATTATCTCATTCAAAAGTCTTAACTCATCATCTCTCTTCAACAGTTCAACTTTGATAACTGTTCATCATCAACATCTTCACCCATTATCCATGAAAGTTGAACCATTTCATTGTACATATAATAGTGTATCTTTAGAAGCAAGGAAAAACAACAACAGTGGGCATGAAGCTCTAAAGGCAGTCCATAAATGACACAATAGCCAGTGAAGTAAATGTTTTCTAAACTGTCCTTACTTTCCCCTATTTCATAAGTTACTAGATCATGTTAGATGCTACTGTATCCAGCATTCTTTGAGGTCAAGGACCCTGGAAGGAAAAGAGTTTCAAATCCAAAGCAAAATGTAGTGTGCAGTATGAAGCAGCAAAGACAGCCCTGGGTGTCTGTAAGAGTACAGGCTTACAGACAGAAGAAAGTAGGTAAATGTGTTAGTCACACAATCCTTCATAGGAAATAAAGCAGGTGGATCCCATGTGTGAAAATGCTAGGCTACTCTTCTCTCATCATGGCCTCATCCTACACGTGTGGTGTGTTCACTCAGGCTCTACCAGAGTACCACATTTGGTTCAGCATCATAGCTGTTGAGAATTTTGCTACAGAAAAATTGCATACCCAATTAACTCTCTCGGAAAATCATTAAATGTCCCTTAAATATGTACCCTGTAGTGGGACTGCTGGGCAATGTTGTTGCTATTATGAGAGCTCCTATCCCTTCTATAGTGGATTTAATTTACTTCCTAAAAAATCATTCATCATTTGCAAGAATTTCCTTTTCTCTACATAATCACACTTCTTATTTACAAGTTTATTTGTATTCTTTATTTATTTACACAGTTCTTTGATAGCAGTTATTGTAAGTGAGGAGAAATTACACCCTCTTGTAGTCAATGTCTGTAGTTTTCAAAACTGCTGTCTAGTGGTATAGTCTCCTGTAGGTAATGACCTGTGCAGTCGCCAGCTCAGCTTCCACTGTCTCATTATTTATAATTATTATGGTGACTGTTTTCAGTGTTTTGGGTGACTTATGTATTCTGATGTTATTCCCTCTCACCCGGGTGCTGTCATGGAAACACCCTCCCGCCCATTCTTCAGGACATCTCACTTTGTTCTTTACTGTGAAGACGTGTCACAGTTTGATAGCCATCTGTTAATTTCTGTTCGTGTTAATTTTGTTGTTGCCTATGATTTTTTTGGATCTTATCACAAGCATTCTGGCCAATATCAATGTCTTGAGATGTTTACTCTGTTTCTGTCCAGAAGTTTCACCGTTTCACATTTTACCTTTAGGTTTTGTACCATCTTCTCTAAATTTTAAAGAATTACTTCATTTTCTCAAGACTTATCTTGGTCCATGATAAGACTTATCCTGTGAGAGCTGAAACACAAAAGATGTCAGAAAAAAAATGAACCTTGCTAGCAAGTAAATGCTACTGAGGGGTAGAGTGGAGAGACAGCTTATCATGAAAAGCACTGGCTGTTCTTGCAGAGGACTGGGGTTTGATTTTCAGCACCCTCATGATGGCTACAATTGGCCTGTAAATCCAGTTCCAGGGGCTCAGACTCTTGAATAGTGTACATATATGGAACATATATTCTAGTGCAGTGTACACATTCATGAATAAAAACAAATCTTTTAAAATCCTATTGGAAATATAATAATACACATCTATAAATGACTGATAGATGATAGATAGATAGATAGATAGATAGATAGATAGATAGATAGATAGAATACTTGAACCAATGATTGATCTTCCTATTAATAGTCTCCAAAATTAGGCAAAGATAGTTGCTATGTTCCAGGCAAGCACGACTGATGTGACTTTTCAAGGGAATTGCTAGCAACTGGTATTATCCTGTATTAAAGACACAGAGAACACAAGACTTAGCCCCTGGCAGGAGGTTGAGTGGAATTTCACTGGCTCATGTCAACCTCAGTCAGGCTACAGGCAGCTGCTTCAGTGTGTGGAGTGATCTATCTACTGACCATGTTTAGGCTTTACATGTGAGTGATACTCAACACTGGAAAGAGTTCTTTATCTAAAGAAACAGATGAAGTTTATTTGAATGCTAGCTTATATTAGGCCAAGACATCCAAAAATTTATCACTGGGATGCACAGCCAATATTAATGACTTATGAAGTATTTGATAATCTTCGTATTAGTTTCAAAATCTAGTATATTTTTACAATGATTACATATCTCTATGCAAAATATGATAGCTACATTTCAAGGTATCAGGGACACCTAAGCCAATGGACCCTACTTTGAACAGCTCAGAAATGGTTTCTTGATTAATTTAAGAACTTTTATTTCTCTTGCCTATTTTTTGACACATAATCTTCCTCAATAGCCCAGGCTAGACCTTAACTAGCACTGATTCTCCATGTCTCAGCCTTCTTGGATTACAAATGTAAACTACTGTGTTGAACCTTCTATACTTGTCCTTATTGTATTCAGAGTCCTGATGCTTTTAACTAATGATTCACAGTTGTTTCCAAACATAGATATAGCTTAATTATAAAAACTGATAAGAAATAAGATTGGTCTAAAATAACAAAGTAGTCGTATGGTGGGGGTTCTTTATCTAGTTAGAAATGCTGAAGCCTATTTGAGGTGAATAGAGCAATGTCTACCGTGTAATTAGATTCAGCAAAACCTAGACCTAAGAGTATTTTTCCCTTATGGAAGGCAACATACAAAGTCTTCTTCTGTGAAAACCTCCATGTTCCATTCTTTGGGGTGCATTAATATCCCTACCCTACCACCATTTTATGAGGACTCCTTCTATGTTTCCACATCTTTACTGACATGTGCTGTTTTCCCTATGGCAGGTATATTGACTCGGGTTAGATAGAATCTTAATAGATTTTCTTAATAAGTGTTGTTTTTGATTCCTCTGTTCCAATTTTCCATTGTTGTGATAAATACACCATGACCAAAAGAAATGTGAGCAGAAAGAGTTTATTGAGTTTACAGTTCCACATTAGTTTATCTCCAAGGGAAGGCAGCACAGGAACTCAGAGGAGGTACCCAGAGTCAAGAGATGATTCAGAGGTCATGGGGGAGTACTCTCTACTGGCTTGCTCATCAGGACCTGCTCAACCTACTTTCTTATATCACCCAAGATCACAAGCCCAG